AATTGGTATACACCACCACTAACAAATTTACTTTTTTAAAAATGACCACTGAGCATTTTTTTAACAGTGATTGTCAGTTTTTTTAATTGAGGTGATTAAATAATAAATTAAATCCATATAACATACGATAACCATGTACAACTAACTTAGTGGCATTTAGTGTCTTCACAATGTTGTGCAACCACCACCTCTCTAGTTTCAAAACTTTTTCATTACCCTGGTGAAACACCAATCACTTCCCATTCCCCTCATCCACTATCCACTGATAACCTGCAGTCCTACTTTCTGTCTCCATGGATTTGCCTATTCCAGAGATATATGAAAAGAATCATACAAGATGTAACCTTTTGTTTCTGGTTTCTTTCACTTAGCATGTTTTCGAGGTTTACCCACATTCTAGCATGTATCAATACTTTGTTCCCACCAGCAGTATATGAGGGCTCCTATTTCTTCACATCCTTACCAGCCCCTCAGTGAACCACCACACAGATCTGGACGCACAACCCCAGTTACTGGAGGACAAAGTCCCTATTGCCTACCTTGGCATAAGCAAGCCACACCAGGAAAATGAGCCACCATCCCCACATGGGCTTGGGGAATAGAGGATGGTAGTCACTACACAAAATGCCAAAACTCACCAAAATTTACCAACTTCTCCCTTTATCAAGTACCCCCCTGGATGCCGTATTTGATAAGACTCTAGAGTTCCAAAATAGTTGCTTCAGACAGTTTTTGCCAGCGCAATAGTTGTTTCATTAGAGAGAACAATTTCTGGAGCTCCCTACCCTTCCATCTTCTGTGATGTCATTCCTCAATCTTTTTAAGCCACAAGAACCCTTTTTTCAAACAAAATCTTATGTGGAAGCTCATTATAACAGCTAAACAGATAGTAGCATTGTGACTCAGGTTCCACCCTGGATCCTTAGAGTGGCATACACCCCCTTAGGCTTTTTTGCCATCATGCCTCTCTCCCACCTTAATTAGAACCACTCTAAAGCAGTGGTTCTCACACTTTGTTTTTATCTCCCTCACCCTTTTCACTGATCATCTGAAGTGGAAAAAGAATTGGACGATTGCAAAGACTGGTGAAAAACAAAATAAATAAGTTACTATATACGGGTACTCATTACTGACATCATATGTGAATTACCTGTGAATTACTTTTATAAGAGAAGAACAGAAGCTTAAACATGTTTCTATATGATAAAATAATATTCTATAAAGTTAAAAATATTTTTTATTATATTTACATTGCTATAAAATGATGTAAGTTATTTGAATAGCATAAATGAATGACCAGCACACCACCAATGAGATGTCACTGGATGGAGGAATTAGAGTCATGTCTACTCTAGCCATTGCGGTGTGAATAGCTCATATTTGAATCACAGCGTATCATGTCTTGAAAATAATAAGCCAAAACTTCTGTTGATGCAATTACGTATCCTGGACACTCAGGTGGCATCACATCACCTCCCATAGCAAACAAACCACCTTGATAATGATGACATGAAACTAGTAGTAACTTGTAATTAAAAGACAAGAACCTCAGCAGACTGAAAATGAAAGTCTAGTCAAGACTTTAATGATGATTTACTGATGACAAAGCATCCTTTTTCCAAATCGAAGGAATTCCAAGGCTCAGGAGTTTTGTAATGTTACTAAGCATCGTGAAGCAGCCAGACTTAGTAAGATACTTAAATTAGAGCTCTCAAACACAAATAAGTCTTACATTTTGTTTTAAGGTTACCAGTTAGTAACCCTATTTAACTGCCGTGGTGTAGTAATCCTTAGTCATATGTTAAATAACTTGCTATCATTTGAAGGAAACAGAGAAAAAGATTATATTTAGGATCATTTTGAGATCTTCAAGAACCTCTCTTTGGCTCACTGTGAGAATCACTGCCCTGCAGAATGACTAAGGAAATTTTCTTATTTAGTTAGGACCATTGGTTTAAGCCGTGAAGCCAGGGTATTTAACCTGCTCGGTAGGGGTTTGAGTAGCTTATGCTCCAGCCTCTGTTACCAGATAAAATTGACCTTGATATTCTAGCCCCCTTTCTAGGCAGCCTACTAAAAGAATGGTTGAGTCCCTTTTCCTTTCAACTCTCAAAAAATTAGCTTGGTAATTTCAAAGATTGTATCCAGTTCTAAATTCAGTGATTCTCCTGATCTTAGGGCTGCATTGCTACCACAGAAGCCTACTGAGTTAAGTATTGTCTTCCAGGCAGTAAAGAGTATCAGGTTTTTGGCATCTAGGGGGATCTGAGAAGTTAGTGTTTAATCACAGTGAAGATCTTCCTGTATGATGTTACTACTCACTGGTTTCATATAAGAATAAAAATAAGTTCTATGGTCTCTTTCAGTTTTATTGTCACCACCAGTTTCCATTAAGACTGAACCATCCCTGGTGTTAGAGGGTGGCTGATCAGTTACTGTACTTTAGGCACCTTCTCCCCTTTTCCTCTGTAGGATGGCTAATGACTCAAACTCAGCCATCCTGTACTAAAGGTGAAAGATAATGTTGGCTTTATCCAAAAAGGGTTATAATTATGTTCTGGTGCAACCCCCGGAAGTATAAATATCCCCTCCTGTCTATAGGAAACAGGAATGGAATGCCTCTGCATAGATACCCTCTGCTCTATGTAAACAATGGTGGGTTGGTTTGTTTTTGTTTTTGTTTATTTGTTTGTTTTATCTTGCCTGAGAAACTGGGGATCAGAGAATAAACTGTCAATACCCTATTGGAGATTCTGAGACTCTGTCTCAAAAAAAAAAAAAAAAAAAATTAATGATGTGCCCGTGATTGGAGTATAAAATATTTATCCCTGGCTTACAAATGAGGACTTACAGGCTTGGGTTCAGAGATTTGTCAAGTGTCAGAGAATTTAAGATTTGTAACCAGGTCTGTCTATTTCAAAGGCTGTGTTCTTGCCCACTACTTTATGTTAGCTTCCTAGACAGTATAGAAATCTAGCTAGAACAGTTTAGTCTTAGGAAATAGTGGAAATTAAGTTTGGAAAGGAAACCAGCTGATGAAAGATTTGGAATTCTAGTCGGAGAAGTTTAGATTTAATCTAGTCAACGGTGGAAATTACTTTGGATTGCAAATATGAATCCTTTTGTTATTTTTAAGCCATTCTTCCTTCTATCACCTTGGTCAATATTTGATCTGGGCTTATTTATTCAAAAATATAATTGCCTTTTAAATTACATTTCTAGGTACCCTAGAAAAAGAAATAGTTTGATAGAGCTTCCTGATGACTATAGTTGTCTCCTAAATCAAGCTTCTCATTTCAGGTAAGAA